TCACAGTTCTGTAGAAAAATGAAATTATGAAATTTTTGTACCTATTAAAGAGGTACATCTTGTCAGCATATAAAGATTCAAACGATTATTTACACCTGTGGAATTTGTGTTCCCCAAATCTCCTGCTGTGAATTTGCAGGATAAAAAACAAAGGATTAAACAATTTTCTTTTCAATATGGTCAAAAATTTTCTTTCTTTGAAAATAGTCAAAATTTGCTACACTTACAATCATAAAAATATATTTAGAGCTGACAGACACAAAAAGTTAAGCTGAAATTAAACATTACCATGGCTAATTGAAGTTGGCTGCAAATTACTTTTGATTTGTTTTTATGGCTTATCAACCTTTTATAGGTTATTTAAAGTCAGAAAATATATTTAAATTGTAATAATTATTTTTTTTTAAATAAGAATGATTTTTACTGATACATGTTCTACTAATTAACACATAGTTGGGGGGTGAGAAGAGGTGGATTTATACCTTTTGCTTAACTTTGGTGATTGTACGAGAACTGGTGTTTCAATGTGACATGGCCATAAGCAAAATTACTTACTGAACAAAAATAGAATTACAAATTTCTAAGGTTAAAACCATAAAGTTATTCATTCATTAGTTACTTGTTACAACCTGCAGTAGATTGTGAATGTGATTTATTTCTTGCCAGGAAACAAAAAATATAATTTTTAATTTAACTTCCTTTCTGTAAAATAAGAGGGAGGACTTCTGTACAAGAATAAAAGACAGTGTATAAAAAAAAACACTTTAATCTTCATGTTAATGGTGAAATAAGCTGTTTCCTTATAAGGAAACACTTGGCATTCATTGACTGAACAGTTAGTGCTACTTTTGGTTGAAATATCAAATCTTTTCTTAAAACAGTTTTTTAAAGAAATTGGACTTCTCAAGTCCAATAAATGTTATAGCTCTTTCTAGTATTGATAGGAGTTTTCTTCCAAATTTTTTGCTTTTGGTAGTGTGGAAAGTTAGCATCTTGATTATATCATTATTTTTGTTACATGTGCTATCCATTTTAGTTGTTGCTGCTTTTGGAAGTCTTCAACTGATGTTTTTTTTTTCTATTGTTTAGTAAATGCTTTGTTTGTGATTTTGTAAAAACATTATCCATTATAAACTAATGTTTCCATAAAATTCTTCATTTGAAGTCATCTTTTTAGAACTTAAATAACTTTAAAAACTTTTAATTTTAAAATAAGACAATTTATTCATTTTTAATGAAACTATCATTTATTTAGAAATTCTAATGTACAAAATTGAGATTCATAGTTTTTACAAAAATTTATAAGGGATACTAGGTTAATGTGTTTTTGTTGAAAGCTCTACCAAGATTTAAACTTATTAAGGACTTATGCAAATGTATTAAAAACTTAGAAAATGAAAACAATAAACAAATGTTTATTAAGTATTTTTGGCCAACTTCATTAGAATCCATTGGTACCATCAACATTCAGAATTGAATTCTGAACAAAGCCAAATTTCATCTTGGAATCGGAAAGTCAGTCTTACAATGCACGTATGCCCTGAACTGCAAAAATTGACTCTAAAAACATACAGCAGCCGCACTTGACTAAAAAATAGAAACATAACATCCAGGTGAAATGAAATTTAACTGCTGAGTTAATGGTATCTGCATTTGGCTGAAACTGTCTCTATTGTTATTTTTTTAAGAGTATGGGAATGCCACTCTTCTTTTTAGAGTTAAAGATAGATAAAAATATAAGAAAGTCAAGAGAGAGTGGAATAAGAAAGCTGGAAGAGAGAGAGGTTGTTGGAAAATATACACATTTCTTGAAATATTGAAATGTTTCAAGACAATAAATAAAAGGAAATAGGTAGGTAAAAAAAAGAAACAGGTTTTAAAATGAGAGATAGCAAGATAGAAGTCATTGGAAAACAAAAGGAAACATATATAAAGACGAGAGCGAAAGAGATTGAAGTTAGTATTAAAAATAGAAACATATCAAGACAAGATAAAAAATTGGTAGTAAAAGTAAAAACAAATTTCAAGGCAAGATAAAAATAGGAAGTATTTTAAGCCTGATTAAAGATTTTACATAAAAGATGTAAAATTTGTTCAAGACTGGGATAAGTGGTTTTCATCTTGGCTAAGAGATATGTTTTTTATGATTAATTGGAAGAACTTGTGTTTTTAAACCAGAAGAACCATTTTACCTGAAGAGATAATGGTAAAAGTCTGCAGAAACAGTTCTTTGACTGTAAACTTGTTCTTTGGTTGTGAGTGGCAAATAAGTCGAAGAAATGTCTTTGAGAATTTGTTAATTCCTGGATTTTTGGAATGTTGCTTTAAATTCTGGGAGTCCAAAAGATTCTGGTTTTAAAAGCAAAATATAGCAAGTAAAAAAAACAACAAAAAAAAAAAAAAATGACCAAAAAGCAAAACCAGATATCAATTTTAAAAATGCAAGGAAATGTGAAGAAGGAAATATTCTTCACAAAAAAACAGGGAAAATATGAAAAAGACAAATTGAAAATCAGACCCCCCCACCCAAATAAGCCGAGTGAGGCGCTGTAAAAAAATATAGTTCTTTGGGTGCAAGTGGGCAGTGTGCAGTCAGTTGTGAGTGTAGCAATATATAAATAAATGTGAAAAAAAACAACAAACAAACAAAAAACCCATTAAACTGGAATGTCCAACAGGCCAGTGGGCATCAATTATGAGATCCTGTAAAATAGTAACCAATTACTTTTATTTAATAATTCTTTTTCATTGATGGTATATAAAAATCAATATAAAGGCTAACAATAGGGAACTTCTTTTTTTTTTTTATAATGGAGGGATCAAATCAAGAAGCATTACATAAGAATTTATTCATTTTTCTTATTATTTAAACTCATAGTCATAATAGAAGGCTATTCACCTTTGTCATTGAAAAGATAATATTCTGGGAATTATATATATATGCGGTACTTAGTGTAAAGTGATCAATATCTGTGATAGAGCTGATGTATTCAGTTGTATGGATATTAGTTTGTAACCCTGGGTTTCACGCTTTTGTGATCACCAGACAAACTGGTTTATTTTTTAAAAAGTCAATCTATTTATGCTTATTTGTGTTTGATTATTTGTGTGGGATGGAGGGGGGAATTTTCTTCTGTGTTTGTTTGGGACAAAAAAAAAAAAAAAAACACAGAAGAAAATTCTCCCTTCCACCACACACACTTAATCAAAAACAAATAAGCATAAATAGATCCACTTTTTAAAAAATAAACCAGTTTGTCTGATGATCGCAAAAGTGTGAAACCCAGGATTACAAACTAAGATCTATACAACTGAGTATTTTATATATATATATATATATATATATATATATATATTTATAATGGGATAACGATATATACATTTTTATATAACAAGAACAATTTTGTGAGGAAAGATGTATGACAAAGTGGGAAAAAAATATGTTTTTGTGTGACATGTTTTGTCCTTTAGGACTTTGTAGGACTAGGTTTGTTTACACTGATGTGGCTTCGCATGAACGAGAGATGGTAGGAATTTTAAATTTAGAAAAAAATATTTTTTTTATATGTGTTTTGGGTATGTAATCTAGCCAATTCCATTTAGATTCTTTTTGTTTCTTTTGTTTTTGTTACTAAATATGCCACATTATGATAACAAAAGATCCACCAAAAATGGTGAAACATTGGACGCAAATTTACTGGGGATGAACTGGCAGTTAAAGGACTTCCTAAGCATTTTCGTATTAGTTAATTATTTTCTCCTTTTAATAGGAGTAGCATTTTTTTTATGTCAAAATTTGGTCAGTCGAAGGATGAAATATGTCACACAAACTTTTTTTTACACTCTCTCTATATATATACATATATGACAATGTATGTATATATGTTGATCCTTATCTCAATCAAGGTTAAATATTGTAAGTAAATCTTGAATTCAAATAAAATGGCTTGTGATAGCTTATTAACCATTACTCTATGACAGATGACCAATAGTGCACTAATTGAACAGCAATTTGATTTAAATTTATGCTACTTGTTCTAATAATTGTATTAATACAATTGGTTTTATTGAAGAATGCTGAGAATACTATCGCTGTTGTACTTGAGTAACAGAGAAATTTTAAGAAAATGGAAACAAAATGGCCACTTATATTTAGAATAAGAAAAAGAGGTCAAATTTTTGGGACCCATAATGAGAAAAGATGGTTTAGAAAGTTTGACACTCAGAGGATATTAAGGGACAAAGAGAAACAGTGAGTGAGCTACCTAACAAGTTTGTGTAAATGGATGGTTGATCATTGAGTGTGAAGGGTAGTAAAAAAAAGCAAACATTATTAAGAACTAAAAGGACAGGTAGTTGTGGAGAGCCATGATTGCTCATGTCCTGAAGCACATAAAAAAAGAAGAGGCTAAAAGTATGTCAGTTTCTATATAATGTTGTGTATGATTCATAATTTTAAGTAACCTTTTTCAATATGCTAATGTAATTGTCTTCACTCTGTCAATTACATTGCAAAAAATTATTCGTTATTATTGTACTTGTTAAAGTGCATGATGCGTGTTAGACTCAATGAATAGCGAAAATAATAAACAGAAATCATCATTAAACTTTTCAGTGTTGGTCTATTTCTTAAAAGAAAAAAAACTTTGTTTATTTTCTTCTGTATACATCTTACGTTCTGCTCCAAATAATTTGGTAATAAATTGGCTTTTATATATTTTATTGGTTGACTCATTTTCTATAGCTTATCAACCCTTTGCAGGTTATTTGAAGCCAAAACATATTTTTAGTTTGTAAGAATTTTTTTATGAGATAATAATGGTTTAGTGATACAATTCTTGCTAATTAACCCATAGGTGGGGAATGAGAAGGGGCAGGTTCATACCATTCCCAAGGGTATTTGCCCATAAGTGAAGATAATGAACCAAACGGGAGTTGGAATTCATCTCTCTGATTAACAATTCTGAACCGTTAACCATAACACCACCTGCACATCCAAGCTTACAGCACCCAGTATTCTCAAGTGGTCACCCATCTAGGTACTGACCAGCCTTGGCTTTGCTTAACTTTGGTGATCATACGGAAACCAATGTTTCAATGTGATGTGGCCATAAGCCTGGGGTGTCTGAAAATCCCCCACACTACTAATACTGTAACACTGCCCCACAGTACTAACAAAGTGGTTATAGGAAATTGAATGAATTTATCATTATCAGTAAAACAATCCTACAGTCATGGATGGATAAACAGTAAATTTCTGATATCCTTTATTTCAATGTGGTATTTTATGAATAACTGAATATGGCTGTTTTTCTGATGCAGAAATATAAATATTTAGAATATTAAACATGAAACAGCTACACAAAAAAATAAATAAATTCACCTAGATTTTTTGTTTTTGCATTCATTATATTAGGACATCTTATGACTACCTTAATTCAGTAGATTTTATTACAATACTGCTTTGGCTACTTATAGAATACATAAAGATTATATAAAATCTGATTTTTAGCATTGTATAGACATACAACTAACCAAAAACTTATATCAATGTTGTGCAATGTAGAATCTGTCAGAATATTTCAAACTATATAAAAAATAGCACCAGTTTATAGAGCAATGGTTAGCATGCTGTTTTGTAAAATAAAAATTTCAGGTTTGATTCTGAAGGCCCCCCAAATTTAGTAAAAGTAGGATGTTTATTTTCACTTTACAAAATGATAGTTTGTAATTATAATTCATATATATATATATATGGGGAAAAAAGGTGTTTAAACTAATGCCAGGAGGATATGAATAAAATGCTAAAGCCTTTAATAAAAGAATATTATGATTTCAAGATTCTTGTCAAATGTAGATCTCTAAATAACTATCAGAATATTATGTTCACTGCATTATATATATATATATATATATATATATATATATAAGTGAACATTGAAGTCAACACTCAGAGGTGACAGACTATTTCATGCTAGACGTAATCATCAGGCTGTGAATGTTGGATTTTGGAGGAAAAATCCAACATTCACAACCTGATGATTGTGTCTAGCATGAAACAGCCTGTTGCCTCTGAGTGTTGACTTCAATGTTCACTTTTATATTTACATACGCTCTATCTCTGATATTGAGCACTTTATCCCATAAATATAGCACACCTTAAAACTATATTTCTTCCTATATAAATATAGGAATTTTTCATTTATGTAGTTTTGGTTGAAATCAATGAAAGTTCTTTAAGATTTTTTTTTATTTAATTTTTTTTTATTTTTATTTCTGATCATTTTTCTGGTTTCCAGCAAAAATTTCAACAAAAATTCAAAATGTTCTGAGTACTTTCATAAAAAATTATCAAATAGTTTTATTCTTGTGTTAATAGAGTTGTGCCTGTGTATTGTATTGTATTTTCTTTAGTTTTCAAGTGGGTCAGGGTTTTTTTCTTTAAGTGTCATGTCTTACATGGTCAGTTTTCTGTATTGTTATTTTTTTTGTGAAAGCACTCTGAAGACAGTGGACAATTTATGTTCAAATTTTCCTTGGAAACTAGAAAAATGGTTAAAACCATAGAAAAAATTAAATGAGAAAATTTTAATTGTTTTTCAACCAAACCTATATATATATATATTTCATAATCAGATGAGTGTTGTGAATTAATAAAATTTGTAAGAAGAAGAGTATTAGCTTCCATCTGGCCCAAGTGGATAAAATTTTTTCTTTTAAAAAAATGGACGACAAGCCTTGAAGGGCACCAAAGAGAAATGGTCAGTTTAGTGACCAATTCTGGTCAATCATCTGTTAAAATACTTTATGGCAAAAGAAAAACATATGTGCTTCTGCAATGAATATTGCTTGCACAGATCCAAAAATAAAAATGATTTTTTTTTTTTTTTACAAGGTATTGTATACTTTTAGGGAAAAAAATGTATATATTTTTTCTTACTATAACATCCATGCTTACAAATAATAGTAATATTCTTTTTAAATTAATATATTTTATTATAACGGATTTTTATCACCTTTTTCCATTCCTAATAAAACATTTAAAAAATTATTTACCCAACAATATAAACTGGGAATTGGCTTAAATGGAATTGCTTCGATTATCTCCCTTGTTTTCAGTAACTATTTTTTTTTCTTCTATTTTTAGCCTTTTTCTTTCACTGATATCATTATTCAAAACATCAGTACTTATTTCTTTACCAGATTTTATAAATGTACAGCTCATCACAAAAATATGGTGGATCTTTTAAAATAAGCTTTAAAAATATAAAACTACTGAAATAATTATGACAAAAACAAAATACAATTTGAATGGGTAGACATGGACTATAAAATATGATATGGGCAATTAGCCTTGGAGTAGCTGTCCACCCCACAGGGGTGAAATGTCCTCAATAATACAAGGGTACTACAAAATTTGTGTTATTAAAGCAAAAACAGTGAGAAAAAGAGAGATAGTCACAAGAATTTTGCTAATTTTTTTCATCAAATAATCTTGGTTCATACATTTAATTTATATACAAATATATATTTGAAATATCCAAAACTTTCTCTTTAAAAAAAGCAAATTTTGTAATCCAAATAATCTCTCTAAAAATCAGGAGAGAAATTTGTTTTGGATTTACAAATAAAATACAAAATATTAATTTTTTTTCTGTGTTCAAGAGATGAGGATATTTCCTTTATTTTTCAACAAGCAAGGTGGGGAATTTATTTTCCTGTGATTTCTCAGATATGTCATCACAAAACACTCACCAATAATTTAGTGTCCTTGAAAAATTGGGAAACTCATTATAGTTTGTATTATTCAGTTTTTAATGTAAATGTATAAATAAAATGAATGAATCCTATAGACTTTTATAATCTAGTTGGCTGAAGAAAAATCTGTTTAAATCTTTGCAGATCATTAAAATATGTATAGGTGTGTTAACAAATTCAAGTATAAAAGTTAAGAAAAGCTATCTAGATATAAATAATTTTTCAGTTATATATTCTCATTGAAAAAATATTAACAGAAAAATGTAATTTCTTACTGCAAAGACTTTTTGTTTTAAAACCCAATTTTTAACATGCTAAAAATAACTCTTCCTAAATTTTATCAAAACAGAAAATATAATTTAAATTTAAATCTTGGAAAAAAAAAAATCATAATATCTTGTGAGAAAGCGTCATCTTGTATTGATATATGCAGTTGTCTCCCTTGCTTCTTTAGGACATCATTGATTTATATGAAAAATGAATGGTTACAAAGCTATATTATATATTCAATTGTTTATTTATCAATATGGCCAGAGCTGTTATCAGGAGAATAAGGACACATGTTTTTTGTAGTTCATATGTAAAGGCTGGATTTTATGTGATGATATGTAATGTGACTTGATGTGTTATAGAAAAGCACTTAAAATGGTAATATCAAACAATGAGTGAAAAACACAGGAAAATGTGTCACATAAAGTGACAATATAAATCAAGGTAGAAATAAAAAGCCATGTGACATCAATAAAATACTTTTTCTTCTTGTGACTCTCATTGTATAAAATATAAAAAGGAGAATCAATTTGTTTGTGATTACAGATTCATGGTGCCCTGAATGTAAAAATTTGGAAAATAATTGGACACCCTATTTTTTTGAAAAAAAAAAAAAAAAATGGACAAATTTAAAAATACATTAATAGTAATATTAGATATTGTATCAGTAGCAGTAGTTAGAATGGGCTTGGTGGTACTGATAGTGGCAACTTCCTTTTTTTATTTATAATTGGACACACTGTACAGTTAACCCCCCCTCAGCCCCCACCAAAAACAAAAAAACTGAAAAAATGTCCAATTAGATGCCATATGGAACATTAACAGCCAAATAACTTTTGAGATAACCTTTATAGATAAAAGTAAGTAAAAGCCTCTGATAATAAAACTGAAGTTTTTTTTTTTTAAAGAGCATGTATGTTACTATTGATGCATTAGCTCGTGAAAGATTTCAGTTGTTAAATCCATGGAGTTCTGATCAGATTGTTGAAGAATCTGAAGATCTGATATTAAATTGATGTATCTCAAAAGTCATTTAAAATCAATTATTACAAATTGATTTTATATGAAAATAAATTGATTTCACTTTAAAATGATACCAAATTTAGCCTTTTTGGTGTTACTAGATATGGTTTGGGAAATCTATGACTTTGTATAAAATTATAGATTTCTGGTGCTTTTAGTCGATCATGTTAACTACAGCATATTGAAATACAATGCTAGGCAGCTTGCAGGCACTTTTGGTCTTAAGGGTTTAACAGCATTAACTCTCATGTATGTAGACTTTTTAGATTTTTCTGATACTTTCAATGAAAGTTGTGCACAAGCATAAATATTGGTGAGAAAAGAAAAATTGCATTTACTGTAATTGGAGTTCTTAACAAGTTAGAAAACTTTGGAATTTGTTAGACTCAGGAAATTCACCAAACCTCATTTTTATTTGGTACAGAAAGAGGAGAATTGGGGTGGGTAGGAAATAAGTTTTTTTTTAAAACTGACTTCTTTGCAAGCTACAGCAATTCAATATACTGTCATAAAAGCAAAAACTTTTTACAAAGGTTTATTCAACTGTTATTCCCTGCTATAGAGTTAACTCCAGGGGGAACAACTCCTGCTTCCTAGTTACACATTTATACAATCATTTTTATAATAGGAAGAGTCAATTCAACTCTCCCTGCTAGGCACATACATTTACACAAAATATACTATCAATATTTCTTGTCAGAAGTCATCAAAAAACTGAGCCAAGTGAAGGAGGTTTCTGAATATTTGTTGTTTGTTCTTTAATTCCTCCAAAAGTTTATGAATCATCTGTGTCAAATGCTGCTGAGAATGCCTTGGTGCTTTGGATGCATCCAAGAGAATATTTTCAACAGGCTCTTTTTGTGATGGCTCAAAGATTCTCGGCAGGACAAACCAATTCTTGGTTAAACAAACCTGGACATTCGCCAAGTTTTCTTTTGAGAAAAATCAATCTTTTCCAACATGTCATTGGATATAAACATTCTGTTTCTTTAAAAATGAGTTGGTCATCTGATTCTGCAAAAAGAGGAAAACATTTTTGTTTGAGCACAGCTTGCATGCTAG